TCGCTTTCAGCTATTTGTGCTAATAACAATCCACGTTTACAATATACATCTATATACATCTGAATCTGTCTAAAAAAAAATCGACTTGAAACCTTGGAAAGATTTATTTTAATTCTATTTATTTGTCTCTTAAAACAAAACAATATTGTTGTTTAACCCTCGCCTAGCCGACACTGGGTCATAAATGACCCAAAATTTGAGCGTAACGAAGGAATGACAATGTCTATACGCCCTATTCTTATCACTATAACGAAAATAACTGACTGCGTGGAGAATTCAAACGTCTCCAGCTAGCAGTACATTCGGTGTAATACCAAAAAGAACCGATCGGTCAAATATGTCTTATAAATTTTATAAATTTTCACAATTTTCACAAATACAGTATGAAATGTGCCAAATATTCACAATTTATATATAAAAAAAGCATGCAATAAAAACATAATAACGTTGTATATACCCGGTGCACATAGGTAAAAAATATATTTATAAAATTTTATATTTTTTAAACAAACTACCTTCCTCTCCACGTTGAAAATATTATTAAGTAATATCCTGCACCAAAAAGTTTGGTACAAAGCAAGTATAGTGAAAATTTGGATATAAGTCAAAAGTGACCCGGTGTTGGTACACCGTGCCACTTATTTACGGTCGGCTATTCGAGGGTTAACCATTTTCATATTATCAAAAGCTAATAAGATATTCAGCCTATATGTATACAATAATGACCAAAATACTTTACTTCAACTTGTATATTTCACTTCTTAAAGACAGTAAATGTAAACCTTCAAATACTTTCATGTACGTATGTATATGAGAAAAATTGAAGTATTTAGCGAGCAGGCAGTTGCTCCAGTTTTCTTTTCTTATATATAAGAGTAGTTTTTCACGAAAAGATAGTAGTCGACACGTCAATTGCAAATTTTTACAAGCTTGAAAAATTCACCAAAGTTGAATCTTGGACAGTAATATCTCCTTTTTCGAACATTTGGCAAACATCCTTCTGCGAAAGTAATACTAGCAGCACTTGTCAAAATTTAACAGATATGAATTTATAGCTGACATTACACGAGATAACGAGACAGCTGCGCCAGAAATATTTATTCGCTCACCGCTCGCATGTCGCTTACGTTTCTTCAGATTTTTATTGTGTTCGTCGAGCAAGGAAATGTAATTTCCCAAATGTCACGATTATACAGCAACTTCGCCATAATTTATTGTGTTGATTATCTGACAGAGGAAACTTATATTACGTCGCGTGTTCAGTTTATAGGAATGGTCCATTTATCATACAACATGGAGCGTGGATGCTTCAGCGATATTTCTACTTCTGTGATATTATACGTTGCCTAACTCGATTTAAAAAAAAGCTGCATGCATTAATTAACTTGTACATCGAATAATAAGATACTATCATGAGAAATTGCGTATGTAATTTTAAATGCATATATATGTTCAATTTGTTTACGTCTTTTTGATGTGTATAACCCATTGATTATTGTAACTACATCAAATAAGAAAAATTGCAATTCTAAAATTAATTTATGCTAGATCTTTTTCTTAAAGTTCTACACGATATCTGTATAATGTTTATAATAATTTGTTGTCCTTTAATTTATAGATATTAAAATAAATACAGATAATTATATGCATTTTTCCTTAAAAATACTCATTTCTGATGTTCCACTTTCTTCGTTCCTTCATTTCCTTTATATTTATAACTTAATACTTAATAACTTTACAATCAATTTATGATAAAACTGTTTTAGAGTCTTACATAGTATATTATGTTTACGATAAGTTTACGATATTTTTCCTTAATTTATTAATACTAAAATAATTAACAGTGATTTTACCCATCTGTGTGTCAGAAGATACTGATTTTTGATGCTCTACTTTTTTGATGTAGCATGTCATATAATCACTTTTTTATCATTTTTTTTCTTGCACTGTGAAAGGTATTCTGTTACTTTTACTTCCTTGAAACGTTGAGGAAAACGTAAAAAGAGATAGACCAGTGAGAAACCAAACAAACAATAATAGCTGGCTTATTGCCTCTGACAATGTGAATAATTAACACGTAGGGAAGTGTAAAACGAAATGTGCTGCTCTTTAGAAATCCGTAATATTCAAATGTAAATACCTCGAGATCGAATAATTGAAACAATATAGTTTATAAAGTAGCTGAATATATTTTTTCACGCTCTATAAGAATATGAAAGAAAGAAATATATAGCATTCCATTGAAACAAATTTTTATCAAGAAAAGATCTTTGTAGAAGAAATTACTCTCGTGGTTAAATGTATCTCTTGAAACAGTGCAACTTTGACCTGATAAATTTTATATGATTGTATTTATTTATAATATTTAGATGATTTCTTTTAATTGCAATATCTTGTATAACGTACACAAGAAAATATTTACGTATGAAGTTGATAAACTAGCATGATTTATATTTGCTACTGAAATTTCAAATTCCAAGTTATACTTACCGTCCTAAAGTTAAACGCATATAAATTATAAATATAGAATACACGTTTTACCAATTCTCCTACGTACTTACTTGCTTTTAGGTAGCCAGATGTTTAGTATACTTATTGAACACATACTGATCATACATATCATTGCAATAGCGTCTGTATATCATTAAACAATGTGCTTGAAGCAAATTAATTAAGAAAGGTGAATAAATAATCGAACATATTTAAAACATAGTTATATAAAACATTTTACATTTACATGCAACACCATGTTTGCAATTCGTTATTTTAACTAAAGAATACATTGTTAAAAGAAGTTTAAACTTTCTCATAATACTGTCCAAAGACACGTACAACATAATTCTTGAATATTTTTGCAGATACTTTAAATTGCACATTTCCAGGTAAATTGATGTTCATATAAATTAAACTAATTTGATATCGATCGATCAACCTGATATTTTCTGCACTTGTTTTCACCCTGATTCCTATTTTTCCACTTTTGTAGATATAATAGTAATAAATGGATTAAAGTATTATATTAATATTACATTGCATTTATTGCCTCATATGAAAATAAAATAATATACTTCTCAAGAAAGAATGAAACAATAAAGAAAATTTAATCTATATCTCAATATATCCACGTTATCATAAGTGTTGTTATACTATATAATCATATTAATAATACTAATAATACCAGTTAATATTTTCGTTTATTCACAATAGTCAATAAATTAGTTTGTAACCCATAATAATATATATAATTTATAATTTATAACTTTTAGATATGTATATATAAATATATTTTATTATAAATAATATTTATTGATAGTATTTCAAATATTCTGTTTATGTTCGTTATATTATGATATTTAACAATTCAAATTACATTAAAAAGTAATAATTTATGCCTGCCTGAAATTATTTTTTACAATTTAAGAAAATTTTATAAAATTGCATTTTATTTAAATGTAAATACAATACATACGTACAATCGTATTATCGTTCGCTACGCATTAAAAGTCGTTTCGTTCAAATAAATCCTTGATTACTATTATATATATATAAATCATTGCACGCGTTTTCCTTTTACTTTCTATTTAAATCTACATTCAAATCCTTTCATACAAAATATACTTCTGTACTGAAAGTACTAGATAACATTAAATATATTATATTGTATCATTATATTGCAGTAAGTAACAATAAATAATTATTAACAGAACTTGCATTTATAACAATAGCAATAGTAATTGCACTAGTAATAGTAAGTGACCGTGAATAAAAATTAACTAGAGAAAAGAAATTAAAATAAAGACATGTTAATATTAACTAGTTGCAGTTAAAATTTCAATACTTCTAATTAACAACACATTTAATGTTAATTAATTACTCTAATAAATATATAATTTGCATTTTGTAATAATAATTACGACATTTTTTATTTAAAAGCAACATAAACATCAACGAATAACTATTAATAATAATAAAGGAAGTGTTTAATGTTGTAATATAATTTTCATATTGTATAATAACATAAGCACAGTTCGTAAAAGCAGTTATTTGTTTGACTTCATAGTAATAACTTTTATATTTCTTTTCAATTTTCATGTAATTTTTCAATAAATTGAATAATAAGTTTTGTAATAATTTACTTAACTTGTTCTATTATAGGAAATATTTTCCACATTTAAGTTCACTATTCTTTTCTACGTTTTATTATCTACATTTTATAGCATATGATATTGTAACGTTTTGTAACATTTCAGAAATATTGTTACATCTAATAAAAATAACAAATTATGACTCGTAAGATATGATGTTAGATATTTCATTTGCAACTGAATTTTAATGCTATATGCTATATATTATTTCGTGCTTTATTATACAGCCATAATAATTTTGTCTTAACGTAAGAAGTATGATTAACGAATTTGTGAAGTATAAATTTTCTGGTATCAAGAAATATTAAATACTAACAATAAGTTATTAATATTTAATGAAACAATAAATATTAATCAAATGGAAGAATATTTGAAATACTTTTTTAATTGCGAAGATACTTGTAGTTAGTGGTAAAATAGTGTTAGTAACAGATTAGGCGAAATTATAAAAGACTATGATTAAGGTTAGTATTTTATTACCATTTGCAGATAAATATACAAGTATTGCTTAAAAAAATACACATTCAAATTTTGAAAGAAATACCATAACTTTTAATAATAACTTCCAAAGTAAAAATTGAATTATGCGTTGTAATTTCTATAAAATTCTGTGAAACATATTTATTGTTTTGAAACATAGTAACAAAATTCATCTCCTCGTCAAATCATATTATGATTTTCAATTAGGTACTTGCATTACACTTACAAAGATATACCAATATAACAGGATGGAAACAATAGACGTCGATCGATGTCAAAGTAACCACTGAAGTTACATAAAGAAATTTATTGTACAGAGAGAAAGTTTGAACCTTCATTTATTATGATTAATGACACGTTTCAATATTAATATACCTGTAAAACCATAGTGCTGACAACAGTACCAGCGACAGGTACGAGATTCAATTCTAGCCATTCTTCGCCTGCTCTTAGACAGCCTCTCTCGTATATACTCCTCTCCCCAGTCTGCATTTACCAGGGGTAAACAGAATAATTGAAAAAAACAGCTAAAAAGTTTTTGCCTCGAAGATTTTGGATTACGTTGTCGTGCCTGCGGCATACTGATACCGTGTGCAAACGTCGATACTTTGCTTTTACCTTGATCACTATGTAATCATTTTAAGCATCAATGGCTGTTTTATCCCTTCTACCTTTCTCTTTAGACCAAGGTTTCTCAAACTCTGTTGCTTTATGACCCCTATTTTCCGTTATATTTCTTATAAATTTTAATTTACAAAACATACGCATAGATATCTGTGTTGTATTTCTATTTATTTCTATAAATCAATTTATAAGCACTCGGTATGAACATTTTCATGCAGTTATAAAAATTCGATGTCGAACATCATGAGTGGTCATATTGTCTCCATTGAGAAACCCTGCTTCAGACGAAACAATTCTTGTATGACGTTTATGAAAATACTTTCATTTCTTAGAGAAATAAATTCGTTGCTAATCACGTTGAACTGAAGGAAACTTAAAACTTCATCGTATAATAAACATAATAAATATGCAGTAACTTAACAAACTTATGTTGTTTGATAAATTTATACTTCGAAATTATTATATAATATAATGTAATATTATAAAATTTTTTGAATTATATCAGTCTATTTAGTCGAAACGTTAGGATTTTAGGACTTTTTATTACATTTAACTGTTATGAAAAATATCTATTTATAAAAAAGTTTGGGAAGTTAATAAACTATATTTGAATAGTATAAAATTAAAAACTGAATGTTAAAAATGGTACACATCAGGATGGATTTCGAAAATACTATGTTTTTGTAAACAAGAAACGGGGGTTCAAAACCGTTTTGCAATCGAAGAGAACGAACGAAATTGATTGAACAATCGACGTAGCACTTGATAGAAAACAGTTCATAAATACTTATATAAGACAGAGAGCACATTGACTCACGAATAAATAAAGAAATAAATAAACAAGGATTGAACACGAATAAATAAGAATCGCACAGGGAAACTACTTTAAAAGTTTCTCTAATAGCTTTAGTAGATGTATATTCGTTAAACCTTTAAGTTCCTTAATTCATTAGTACTGATGTTGTTACTTCTGAGCAGATAATAAAAAAGTATCAGTAACTTAAAAGTTGTTATCATTCTTCACGATTTTTTATTAATTAAATTGGACTCCATTTTAGTTTCAAGCTTCTTTTACCTTGGCAGCTTCCTATTTTAGATCTTATTAAGAAACTTCCCGCTTTAATACTTCTACCCCCTATACGAGCCTCTGACAAAACCTGACTGCCATCTTTAAAGATAAGAATTAAGCTCTCGGCACTTAATCCAAAACGAAAACGAGGGGATGAAAGTGTAAAGAATAGCATGGACGTTAAAGGATTTCGTTCATATTTTAATCAGTATACCTTATTCAAACTTATTAGAAACAGAAATTCACAAAATATAATTAATGAAAAGCATTATTTTAGAAAGAAGGAAGAAATAAGGAGTTATTTAAAGTATTAGTATAAGTAATCGAAAGTATGGTAAGTATAGTAAAGTGAAGAAGAAACGACGAATCAATGTAAATACAAGTTTCAAGAAAGACCACCTTGCAAACACGACAAGTAAAATTAGTAGGCTAGTGTTAAATTTAATATCGAAATGAAAAAATTACTTACGTAACTAGGCTTTCTAACATCATAGCCGCACTGTTTATTTTTGATAATTTCCTGAAAACATTGAAGAATATGATTGAAGGATAATGTAAGATAATATTACAAGATGTAAACTTAAATACGCAATAAAATTTGGTAGTATTATAAAAAAATTCTGCACTGCAATTCGCATGCAATTAATTCTCGAATTTTCAAAAAGACGAACTCAAGTTATATCGTATTAAAACAGAAGTGGAAAAATGAAGAATACATTTATATGAAGTAGAAAAATTACATTTGGCTTTCGTTTACAACAGCTAAAAGGCACGCCGCATGCTTCCCTCGAGCCAATGTCGCTCGATGAACAATTGAAATAATTGTTGCGATCCCAGTCTTTAGGACCCTCGATGCCGCAACACTGTAACTGTGAAATCGATAAAATTATATTGTCGAATTTTCATTCAAATCAATTTTCGTGCAAGTGAAAAATGTATTTGTAAAAAGGAAAAAAAGAGAAAAAGAAACGCATAATGTTTTCGCGCTATATTTACTAATAGCATATACCCGATATAAACTATTTTTACTTCTGTTTGTAATAATTTCGTTCAAATGTTTAATTAAAAACGTCGTTAAGTGAGTCTAACGTTAAGTAAAAAATAAGTATTCTTAACGACCTCTAATGTCTATATTTAAGAATATTTTCACTGTTTCTATACAAAAATTCGAAGTCTTAGAAAGTTTTCGAGGCATCGACAATATTAGCCTGCATTATTTAAAAATGGTATACGCTGATCAAAGTAATGTACAACTTCAGCTCGCTATCCGCAATTGCACTTGTAGTGAAAGCTGTGGAAATGATTTCAAATGTGCTCATTAATAGTTTCATAACCACGACAGAACTGGTGCGATATTAAATACGTGACTTTATAGTGAGAAAAAATATTACGATGATTTCGTTAGGGAAAAGCAAAGGATCACGATGAATCAGGTGCAGTGAAGAAAGAATAAAGACGAAAGAAATAGGAATTTTGTAAAAAACGAAGTTAATATTAAAAAGAAATAGAGAAAATAAAAAAAATGAAAATGAAAAATAACATAAGTGTGAATTTGAGAGGACTGGGTTAAATGCTTATTCTTCTTAGAAACTCGAGACATATTATTCATGCTTCAAACATTTTTATTTTTATTTTTTATCAGTTTAATAAGTCTTTTCATATCACTTAGTTAAACTACCAAGGAAATCCACGTTGATATTCACAATACATGGTATTTTGTAAGAAATTTTATCCTGATTTGAGTAAAGCTTTGCTCCAATTAACATTGTAAGTAACAAATTTTCATTAATAATGTTATTTCAATAAAGTTATATTTAAATGAATTGAATTTAAAAAACATTAAAATAATTACTTTTCAAACATGTTAATTCTACCGTAAATACGTATTTCATTTGAGTATGGAAATCTGTTACATACATATGTACATGTATACTGCACATAAACGTGTCCTTTTGTACACATACCAATCCTATTCTGTACAAAAGAGCATATCGAATTAATCCATTCCTCTATTTTTAATTTCTATTTTCATTCGAATCGATGACTAAATTACAAAAGTGCTTTTGTATGTATATTGTATAGTTAACTCGCTATACGTATACCATATGTCGACTTAATTTTGTACGACTGTTTCCTTTCTTTCTTTTTTCACTGTAACTATTATATTTATTCGCCAAGATTTCTGACTTTTAGGTATTCTTTTGCTTAGTTTTGAAAATGTCTTGTTGACTTCTTCGCAATTATCTTTCCGAGTTGCTGTCCTGTATTTTTAATAATTTTGTGTTCCCTTCCATTACGCCCTCGGCGCGTTAATTTCGTAAAAGGGGAATAAAGTTACTCTGCTATAGGGTAAACGGTGTGGTTTAGCCAACCCTAGACCCTTTACAGAGTTCGACCAGTTCACTCCAGTAGTAAAGGGACCGGTCCTAGATTGCGTGACCCCGTGAAGACTACAAAGTTTATGACAGGATAATTTAGTATTGAGGTGTGTGGAATTGAAAAACGCGATAACACGAAAATACATTCTGAGAAACGTAATGAACAAACACTAAGTCAACCCTGAATATTGCCACCTATTTAATAGATGGTAGAAATATTATCGAAATTTCTCAGAAATAGCGATTCTGACTATTACGAAATAGTTATGAATTATTTTATGTTCTATTAGTCATATTATGAAATCAAACTTATTTACAGTTATTTAGATACATTCATATCATATCTTTGGATATTTTCAAAACTTATTAACAATATTTATTAGTCATTAGAAATACTTGAAAAATTAGATCAATCAAATTATTTTTGTTAACATACTGGACAAGTATTTTTTCATGCACAACCAATATCAAGAGAAATGACTATTTTACCAGAGCAATGTTATACTTTAGGCAGTGAAAAATTAAGTAGTTTATTTAATTTACGTATTTCAATCTCTATACATCGGGGCTGATTCCTTGAATAAATATCTAGCAATTTATCTCACAATCAATATCAATTCCCTCTGACCTCTCTTACGTACATAGTATAGAGATCCGTTATATGTATACTGTATAGAGCTAGAAAAATGATCGAAGAAGGAACAGAAGTCTGATTGATCATAGTGGAATAGTTCCTCTGATACAATCATAAAGAAATACCACATGAATTTTTGTTATTGATCGAAAGTATCACCATTTATAAGTCGGATGAAATAGCATTGCACGAAAAAGAGAGCAAACGGGATATATTGGCACTAAAAGAGACAAAGGTATAACAGCGACATAAAACATTGGTATAGATACAGATTCAGAATGTTAACCATTATACGATAAGATATAAGAGACGACATACAGTAGATTCGAATGATATAGCGAAGTCGTAAATTACTGTATTCAGCGACAATCTCGATTGATGCTGAAATGGGAACGTTGTCGATACACTAGACCTTCTGCAGTTTGTAACTGTAAATATTTAACAGAAAGAATAAAATGAAAAGAAATTGTTTCAATTTTAAATTACAATTAGTTCATTATAACAAATTGACTGTCGAATGAATTTTACATAACTTGTCCATAACGATAGAGTACGTGTTTTACTTTATAACAACACATTGTAATATACGAAAATAATATGTCTACAGTTTCAAATAACATTACAGGTAGATTTCGAACGGAAATTGATCGTATTATTTGGATACTTGGAATACAAAAATAGATTAGAATTTAGAAAGGGAATATATAATATATGCAACAAACATTTTTGAATGTACCTTTTCAGTATTCGGTTTTATTATTATGGTATAAGCTTGTTTATTGTTTTTCAGAGTACATATTTCAAGCTCGTATTTACTGAAGTTTTGCTAACATTAATCGCGACCTGACATAATTTTATAATTTCTAGTCATTCGAATATCGCACTATTTGAACTCATATTAATCGAGATTTATCTGCGTTTAAATATATTTTATGATAGAGTAATTTATTTCATTGCAATGACAATATATAGAAAATTTTGCGAATATTATCAGTTATTTAAATTAAAGTGATCGATCTAAATAAGGCCACCTAAATATCTTTTCCAACTGTAGGGATACAAACAAAATATTTTGTTTAAATGCTTCGAAAGAACTATTATGCTGTAAAAAAAATTTGTTTTTAACATCATTTTTTCGAAATTTATGATCACCGATATTCGTTTTGTATATAATCGTATAATTTTTTTAATTGCATAGTGTAGTTGATGTAAAAATACATTCAAATTCGTACATTACGTGACTTTGAAATGATCATCGAGTTCGAAAAATAAAGGAAACGACAAATTTTTGTCTATCTGAATTAGAGAGACGGAGAAGACGTGCGGGAATTAAGTATAAATAAACATGTTTATCATTTAGCTTACTATTATATCAATGTATATTAGCGAGAAACCAAAAGTAAAAATTTTAAAAATAAAATCAAGCACGGAAAGAAGAACGTGGTGTCTTTGCGTGCCTTTTTGCGTACTGTTTCGGCAATCATCCTCTTAGCTGTGTACAGTATATATGTATTAAATATAGTATAAATCGACATTGCGAATGTATGAGTAACAATGAATTATAATTTTTACGATATAAAGTTGTAATGTCGGTATATGAAGTATTTCTCATTAATCACTTGTAAGTGCAAGGGAATACGTTCAAAATAGCGACGCGGTGGTGGTGTTGCAAGGATGGAGATTGAATCAACATAGAGTACAGAGAATTGATGCATCAGTTTCACTACTGACAGGATTGCTACAATTGTGGCGGCAAACCGACGTTTCCATTGAAACTTGGTAAACTGCCGATGCTATTGATTGACAAACCGTTGATTAACAAACTCTATGATTGAATGCATAACTGCTTGCATTCCACGAAAATCTATTTGGTGTTCTATGCCATGACTGATAGGCAAATAATAAAATGGAACTTCGAAGTTATGTGATTTAACTAATTTCTAATGAAAGGTATTAATGTTTGAAACTATAAATGACAGTACGTACAGTACGAAAATTCGAATTTATGACATGCGGCACTTCTGCCACGAATGCATAAGTAACAATAATAGATATAATAACGGGTAATAATAGACAATAATAAATAGATAAGTATGTTCCTATTTCAATAAAAATTAATATTAATTTTACAGTGTAGTAACATAATAATTTTATCAAAAACAAATGCAAGTTTTCAATAATTGCAAATACAAAAGGTCGGAAATCAAACATTTTAATTAGTTTATTAATTTTAGTATTAAGTAGCATCATATAATTTTTCTCATTCAGAATTGGTGATCATAAATTCAACAATGGTTTAGTAGTTCTAATAAGTATTAAGACTAAGATTGCTAAACTTTTACCTGACTTAAGGGAGCAGAACAGTTTCAAATTTTGAAAAAATCGATATTTCTTTTTTCTCTTAAATTGTAATCTGAAATCTTAATACGAAAGGTCCCAATCTTTAAAACAAATTATTTTTGGATGTAAGGAAGTCAAAACCGATTCACGATCTTGTGAGTCGTAACGCATCGGCACATCTATAACTTGATGTGGCAGTCTATGTATCAGCATGGAACCGATTCTACAGATAGTAATATCAGAAAAGTCGAGAAGTCGACATCATATATATTTTTGGTTTACTTTGGCTGGATTGACCTAAAATTCAAACGAAGTTTTGATAATATTATTTAGCGTTTAGCTTCAAAACAAGGTTAATTTAGCGTCATTACAAACGCGAAAATTGCTGTTTATATTGCTGCTAGTATTTTCAATAAAGGCTTTTTCAGTGTCCTATGAAATATGAGTACTATGAATTTAATCATGTGACCAATAGCTGCTGCACTGTGTGTCATACTGGACGAAAAAGTAATTAAAG